CCCCCCCCCCCCCCCCCCCCCCCCGTAGTGAAGACCTGCCCTAAGTGAATTTGCAGTGAGGATTATAATTTCAGGCTTAGAATGATGCACATATTGAAAACAGAGTGAATTTATACAAATTAAGTGTTTGAGTCAGTTGGACCTGAACAAAAAATGAATTGTTTCCGGATATGAACTGTACAGGATGTACAATAAACTGGAAGAATGCTAAGTTCCTCCTTCCTCACCTCCCTCCTCATCTGGCTATGGCAAATCCGGCTCCAGGTAGAGCAGTGGGCCTGTGGTGATGCTCCCAGAGTACTCCACGTGCTGTATATTGATAGCAGGGGATTTCCCTCATCATGTTGGTATGGGTATGGGTCATGGAGACCCATTGGGGAAGGTTGTCCATCAGAACCCTGTATCCCATAATGATGGGGGGAAGGAAGTATTTCTAATGTTAGGGGCAGTTAGGTCAAAGGTCCCAGGTTCTAGGGGATTCTGTAATATCAAAAGCAGAGTAGCTAGCAGTATGTCGGAAGTCATGCAACCTCGCTGGCCAAGTGGATATCCCTGCTGGACATATAAGGACATCTCTTGGGTACTTTTTGGAATTCTTTATTTCCATTATAACTGTAAAAAATCATAAATAAAATATTTTCTCTAAAAACACCTGGACAGACCCATCAACCTCATCAAAAGGATTAATTTAACCTGGACCTATGCACTTTTGACAACTGTTGTGGGGTTTGTTTTTTGTTTTGTTTTTAAAGAAGGGTTGAAAATAGACCATTGATGGGGATGTGCAGGGAAGGTAATGTTCACAGAGATGTTTTCAAAGATAAATTGAAAAAGTAAGAAAAGGGGGGAGCAGATGTTAAATCCCTTCCCCCCTGAGACCATCTAGAAAACCTTATATATTTACAGTTCTGAGAGATCTGGAGCACCCTCCGTTCCCTTTGAAACCATGGAAGTCAAGGATGTACAGCACTGTGCACCTCTTCCCCTGAGTAGCCATGTTTGAAAATGAAGCCCATTATGATTTGGATCTAGTTAATCACTGCCAGGTTTACCTATATTATCTGTAGTACAGTAGTGCCTAGAAACCCCAACTGAGATCAGGGCCATATTGAACAAGGGGCCATACATACATATAAAAACATAAGAATGGCCATATTAGTTCACACCAATTGTCCATCTAACCCAGTATCCTGTCCCAACAGTGGCCAGTGCCAGGTGCTTCAGAACAGGTAATCATCAAGTGATCCATCCCCTGTTGCCATTCTCAGCTTCTGGCAAACAGAGGCTAGGGATACTTCAGAGCATGGTTTTGCATCCCTGCCCATCCTAAATAAATAAATAATAAAATAATATATGAGAGATACCTATCTCATAGAACTGGAAGGGACCTTGAAAGGTCATTGAGTCCAGCCCCCACCTTCACTAGGAGGGCCGAGTACTGATTTTTGCCCCAGATCCCTAAGTGGCCCCCTCAAAGATTGAGCTCACAGCCCTGGGTTTAGCAGGCCAATGCTCAAACCACTGAGCTATCCCTCCGCCCCTTAACTCCCTCCTGACTAATATCCTCCATGAACTAATCTAGTTCTTTTTTGAACCCTGTTATAGCCTTGGCCTTCATAACACCCTCTGGCAAAGAGTTCCATAGGTTGACTGTGCGTTGTGTGAAGAAATACTTACTTTTGTTTGTTTTAAACCTGCTGCCTACTAATTTCATTTGGTGACCCCTAGTTCTTGCATTATGAGAAAAAATAAATAACACTTCCTTTTTTTTTCTCCACACCAATCATGATAATCATTATGGACCTCTATCATATCCCCCCATAGTCATCTCTTTTCCAAGCTGAAACATCCCAGTCTTATTAATCTCCTCATATGGAAGCTGTTCCATACCCTAATCATTTTTGTTGCCCTTTTCTGTATCTTTTCCAATTCTAATATATGACTTATGAGGAGAGGCTGAGGGAACTGGGGTTATTTAGTCTGCAGAAGAGAAGAGTAAAGGGGGATTTGATTGCAGCCTTCAACTATCTGAAGTGGGGTTCCAAAGAGGATGGAGCTAGGCTGTTCTCAGTGGTGGCAGATGACAGCAAAAGAAGCAATGGCCTCAAGTTGCAGTGGGAGAGGTCTAGGTTGGATGTTAGGAAACACTATTTCACTAGGAGGATGGTGAAGCACTGGAATGGGTTACCTATGGAGGTGGTGGAATCTCCTTCCTCAGAGGTTTTTAAGGCTCGGTTTGACAAAGCCCTGGCTGGGATGATTTAGTTGGTGTTGGTCCTGCTTTGAGCAGGGGGTTGGGCTAGATGACCTACTGAGGTCTCTTCCAACCATAATATTCTATGATTCTATTCTGTCTTATTATCTATCCCTCTTCTAATGATTCCCAACATTGTTAGCTTTTTTGACTGCTGCTGCACATTGAGTGGATGTTTTCAGAGAACTATTCACAGTGATGCCAAGATCTTTCTTGCGTGGTAAGAGCTAATTTAGATCCCATCAGATTTATATTTTAATAAAATATAAAGTATAGTTGGGATTACGTTTTCCAATGTGCATTACTTTGCATTATCAACATTGAATTTCACCTGCCATTTTGTTGTCCAGTCACCCAGTTTTGTGAGATCCCTTTGTAACTCCCCGTGGTCTGCTTTGGACTTAACTATCTTGAGTAGTTTTGTATCATCTGCAGATTTTGCCATCTCACTGTTTACCCATTTTTCCAAATCATAGTAAGAGACACCTCAGCCCACAAGAGCTTACAACTGAAATAGAAAAAACAAAGGGTGGAAGATAAGAAATATTATAATCCCCGTTTTACATATCGGAGGGGAGGCAGAAGGGACAGATCTTCTGACTGTGCAAATTGGCAGAGCTATGTTGAAATCAATGGAGATACACTTATTTGCACACATTGGAGATCTGGCCTTAGTGTCTTGTCCATAGTACCATCCTTTCCTGCTGTTGCATAGTGTGGTATCTTCTATCATAGCAATTTGCCGCATGTTCTTCAAAAATTACTCATATGCTCCTGCACCGTCGAAGGCAAAGAGAGTTTTGCAGTTGACTTTCAGTGGAAGCAGAATCAGGCAGTATTTCAGTAGATTGTACTGTTGTATACAGATTGTTCATTTGCATACATTTCACAGCTTTCCACTGTCTTCCTTTCAGTATCACTGCAGACACTGTTGCACTATTGATTGTTATTAAGGCCCATAATTACATGGTCACTGACAATGACATTTAATACTATGTTCTAATTTGACATTTGCTTTTTTCCTATCTGGTCTGCGCAGTGAGTTTACTTTAGAAATCTAATTAAACAGCTGCAGTAGTCCCTGATAAGTTGCTAGCTGAACAAGGTAATAATAACCCATTAACAAGGAATTCATTTTTCCCCTTGCATTGTTTTTATAGTAATTATATTACTTAAAAATGCATCTACTGAGCTGTAGCCTATAAAATACAAGGTAGCTTTTTGTGGTCTACTTCGACAGAAAAACAAAGTAAAGTATTTGAAGTAGGTTCTGTAGAGTCTTACGTGTTGGAAGAATATTATGTAAGGATTTATTTCTCAGCAGAGTTTTTAAAGCCTGAACTTACATTTATATTGTTAAACTTTAATTTTCTCTATTATAAGCATTATAAGATATTTTTAATAAATCCATAATAATAAAAGAGAAAATGTCATATTTTCCTGTAGCCTTTTCGTGGGAACTTAGTTGCAAAGTAAGCTATACCCTGGAATTACTTTAAAAATGTAAAGTGGATCCTTAAATGGCTTTCCTGCATGAGCTATGGTTAATACGAAGTCTTATTGACTAAGGATGTCAAAGTAGCACAATTCAGTATGCTTCTGTGCATAGTCTTCATGGTTCTTAGTTTTTATCATTTCCACCGATGGGTCCAAGATACAAAGTTTGGTTCTTCAAGTGAATATTTAACATTCCAAAGTTTGCAGGTGTCCAAAGCCAGAGGTTCAGTTAGACTCACCTCTGTTCATTTTCTATAGGATTTGCTGCTTTTCTTCAGAAAGTTGCTGCTGATCCCTGTGGAGGCTGGATCCTTTCATATTTTTGGTCTAATAATAAACATTTATTTTCAGGGGTTCACTACCAGGATGTTCTGTCAAAATATGCACAAATTTGCGTGTTAGCACAAATGAAAACAAATGGACGTCAGAAAGAAATGCCTGCCATGTAATACCTTACCTTAGGCTCACTAATGGCTGATGGTACACAGATTCCAGTTCAGGCCACAATCGGTATTCCATTGAATTTAGAAAAGTGTTAGAAGGCACAAAGGCCAGGAGTGACATGAAGTTCTACTGGATGTCATTCTTGATCTTTGGGTCAATTCAGAAGTATTGATCCCTAGAACTAAGAAGTTATCTAAAATTCTGCTGCACTTAAACTGCTTATGGCGTACCAGATTGCTCTTGGCAGGATCATATTTAGTATAATGTGTGTATTTATTTTGCATTATTGCAACTCCCCTGGTTCTATATTACTTTTCATTATGTTTGCTATTGCTTGACATTTTCGTTTCAATTATTTGTTTAAATTCTTAGTATATCATTATCTTCAGTCTCAGGTGAATCATCTTTCTTCTGCTAACAATGAAACCTATCAAGAACGACTGGCACGATTAGAGGGTGATAAAGAGTCCCTCGTATTGCAGGTATGTATAGTAGCGTACTATCAACATATTTGGTATTCAATGGATAAAAGTTAGAGGGAGTCCTGAAAGAGACATGAAGCCAAACACCTTGGTTCTGTTAGATCAATAAGAATATGTTATGTGCAGAAACATTTACTGGCCATTGAATATAAAATTGTCAGTGGAATGTGAGGAAGGTTTGCAGCTAACCAGGCTGCCCACCAACATGGTTGATATTAGTGTGTAACACAAAGATAGGAGAGAAGAGAATGACTAAGCAAGAAGAAAAATCAGATCATAAATAGTGGACAGGTCAGTTGACTTTATTCACAGCATTCTGTAAAGTCCACAAAAAGTACAATGTAGAGTCACCAGATGTGGCCGGTCAAAGAGATTGCTCTGAGTTTGTGAGAGTGTCCCAGTTGGTTCTATGGAGAACATGGTTCTGTGCTAATTTCTATAATTGGCTGGCAACTGGATGTCTGACTCTTGTACCCAATTCTCTCCCATGTTCTTGAGCTTCCACTTCCTCTGTCGTGATCCCACCTGCCACAAACACTCACTCTCTTTCTTCTTCAGTGCCAGACCCCCCGCTGGTGTAAATCCACGGAAGTCAGTGGAGTTATTCTGACATATTGCAGCTGAGGATCTGACCCTCAGGATTTATGACTGAGTATGAGGATCCAGTTGCCCCGCTCTCTTTTTCTATTATAGTTGTTCTTCCATGCATGAGAATATATGATGTGATCTGAGAAGTCCCATAGTTTGTTGCTCAGCAGCATACTCTGAATTCAAAGGTGAGGTGATAGATCCAGTGGTCCTGTGGTTGTGGGAGAATGTGAGGAACTTGAAACAGGAGAAATGAGGGAACTGGAAAGTTGGGATCAAGGGAAAGTTACAGAGGGCAGGAAGAGACACCCTCTGTAGTGGCATGGTTCCTTTACACATGCTCCTTCCACTCTCCAGGTGACATGAGACTCTCCAGCTGTCAAATTCTTCTCTACCCCATGACTCGAACCACAGCCAGACATCAATATCACTGTATTCCCATTGCCCAATCCCTCTTCAGAAATGTGTTTAACATCTGGCTTTCCCAAATCTTGTTTCTCTGTCAAGAAGCAGAGAGAGCAGTAGGTTCCGTGATCATTCCTTGCCTTTCGATTGTATCTGAGCTGTTTTACTTCCTTAAAATCTGAGGGGGTGGAAGAATTTGGCAATAAATCCAGGGGAAAATAAGTCTGAAACCAGTTCAGTTTCTTTCAGGTTTCCTGCTTCCCAGTTTATAAGCTTTTTCAAAAGCAGGGCCTCTGTACCATGTGAATAAGTTTTATTCTTGGGAAAATAAAACTATGCACAAGGTAAAATCAAGCTCCTTGAGTCTTTCTGAATATTTTTCCCCTTTCCTTTACTAGGCTGCACAGTGTCTGTTCTTAAAGCCCAAAGCAGAAGTCTCTCTAGATACACAATCTTTATCTATCCTTTTCCCTCTGCAAGTGACTCCTAGTCCACGTATCCATAATAGATGTGGGTTTATATTCTCTCTTATCTCAGTATTGAGCTTCTGTGAATGTGTTTTCTGTTGCATGTGTTTCTGTTCACACTTGCTTTAATTAACTGAGTGACGTTCTCATTACCAATATAAAATAAGCAGTAAACCTCTCATGAGACATACTCTTTTGGTTTGGTTTGAATTCTTAATTCCTGTCTAATTAGAAGTGCCATTGGCAAAAACCTTAGGAGTAAAACTTCTGTTTGAAACTTTGGTTAAAACCATACATGTTTAGTTCTAAGCATTGCTGAGACACCTACTTGGGTTTGTCTACAAAGGAATTTAATAAAATTGCTTCAAAAATTTGTTCTGAATGCTCCCGAAAGCCAGGTCAAAGTTGATTATTCAACATATTAATCTCATTCACTTTCCCACCCCACCTCACATTATTACCTGTTTGTGTTACTGTAGCACTCACAAGACCCCAACCAAGACTAGTGCCCCATTGTAAAAGACCATTGCTGCCCTAAAGCGCTCACAGTCTAAATCAGTGGTGTCCAAACTTCTTAGCCTGAGCCACAGAGTCGCCCGCCCCCACTCCACCCCTTTCCCTAAGGCCCCACCCCCACCCTGCCTCTTCCTGCCCTGCCTCTTCCCACCCCTGCCCAACCCCTGTCCCACCTCTTCCACCCCATTCCACCCCCTCCCCTGAGCGCAGGGCCGCCGAGAGCAGGTTCGGGCCCCAGTGAAAAAAAATTTTCGGGCCCCCCAGCAAGGGCGGACCGGCTAAACAGGACCGACGAGGGGGGGGGGAAACTGGGCCCCGGGCCCCGGTAATTTGTACCGGCTTCCCCCCTCTCGTCGGCCCTGCTTGAGCGCGCCCCACCCTTGCTCCTCCCCCTCCCACCCAGCGCCTCCTGCACACGTGGAACAGCTGATCAGGATGGGTGAGAAGCGCTGGAAGTGAGGGGAAGGTGCTGATTGGAGGGGCTGCTGGCAGGCGGGAAGCACTGGGGGGAGGAGGAGGAGCTGATCATTGGGACTTTTTTCCCCGTGGGTGCTTCAGCAAGAGGGCAAGGTGAGATGAGGGAGTGACTAGTGCACACTGCTCTCCTGCTATCCCCAGATGGTGTATGTTTTCTTAGGGACCATAGTCTATTGGCACAAGGTTAAGCAGCCTCTAGGCTGCTTAGAGCATTTCTGGTCCACACAGAGCAGCTGGAGATGAAGCAGTGGGAAAGGCAGTGCCCCCTACCTCTACCCTGTAGTGAGTGGGCTGACTCAAACACCTCCACTTTAAATCTTTCAGAGTTAAATTCTCTTCCATCAAGCCTCACCACTGACCAGTGTTTCTCAGTTTTGCCAAATGTGCTATATAGGTTAGAGATGCCACATCAGCCATGACATCCTGCTGTAGCCCCGAGACAGTTTATGGGAGTTCGTGCAAGTGCCTCTTTTCTCCTGTATTGCCTAGTTTTTCAAAGTTCTACCTTTGGGATCTCAAACAATAAACATGTGCAAAGTCAAGTAAGTGAGTTAAAAGAAAAGGACTTTCTCTGTAGGCTTTAGTGGGTTTTTGACGACTTAGGCGTGTGGTATATGCGGGAACATTGCTCTGTGTACACTCAGTGATTCCCAGAGGGACTGGCAGATGTGAGACCTAACAGAGGAGAAACAATGTCGTTTTAACCTACTAATGTGCCTCTTAGCTTAGCTATTGGAACATTCAGCACGTACTTCTAAAGCTGCTAGGATTTTATTAAATGCCTATGCAGGTCACCTTTTCCTTGGGGATTACAGTGTTTACCCAGTTACACCGTAACCTTTTAAACAGAACTTGCATTCTCTCTTATAGTGACAGCTGCAGGGAGCAAACTAAAAAGGAGGATTCTATACATTGGCCCTTTTTCTCCCTGTCCCCTTATCTCCACTCGCCACCTCTTTTCTCATCTGTCCCTTTCCCTGCCATCTTCATTTCATGGAAAAAATGGACAACCTAATTAAGTATTTAAGCAGCAGCAGCTTTCCCTATAGAACCCATGTCTCTTGCTGGGAGTGCTTTTCATGCTGCTCAGATGTGCCTGTGTTTGTTGCTCCTTGGGTCACCAAATCTTTCCTTAAAATCCTGCCTACCTATTTATCTATGTTCATCTGGACTCTCTCCTGGAGCCAAAGACTATAAAGGAAGTAACAGAAAACACCCCTTTTCCTTTCTCTCCCTTACACTTTTGTCTCCCCGTCCTCCCGCCAAATCTCTTCATAGGTAAGGAAAGGTCAACTATCAGACCCCTCCCTCTGCAGCGAATTCAATTGATCATCCTTTCCTTTGGGTTAGCAGGTGGGTTCAAAAGCCTGCAAATATCTAAGCAGTGCCACTTCTTTAGTGCTTAAAGGGCTCTCTGACAAGCAGACCTTTTTTAAAGTAGGTGGGTCCTGCTGGCCCATTTGAAGGTTTTGGAGATCCTCCTCAAGGACAGCCGCTTATCTAGTTGTTGTTATGCTGGAGCTGAGCATGACAGCAAAGGTAAGGATGTGTTTAACAAGAGTTTAGAAGCCTGAAATTACATCCTGTCTAAAGTAATAGCCAGGGCTGAATAAATTCTGAGAATGAAGGCTGAGGTGTTTGTAGCAAACTAAAGCTCCAGGGCTGAAGGATTTATTAGCCCAGGGTAGGGAAAGAGAGTCAAACTCTTGCTTATGATAGCTGATACATATTGAACCACTTGACTCTCTATAGGGCGAGGCAAGGCTATGTAATTAGGGATACAAATTCAAAAATCCTGATGTGAGACTATGTTTTAGCATAAAATTATTTCAGAAGATTTTTAACCATGTTTCTGGAATGACACCCAAGCATTTGGTAGCTCTGCAACACATTCCCGCAACTCAGCAAAGACGTAATTCAGCAAGCTTGGCTGCAGATGCTCCTCTTGTCTGCCAGGGGCCACCATGGTGCCTGCTCTACAGCAGCCAGGCAGCCTCTCCCCACGCTGGATCTGAATGGGAAAGGAGCATCTGGCTGTGGTGGCGGTGTGGGGACAGAAGGTTGGGGGGACCCCAGTACTGGTCCCCACATGCCCCCAACTACACTGAGTTTTGTGCAGCTGCCTGTCCTGTCCCTGCTGTGTTTACCATAAGTGGGTATGTTTACCATAAATGGTTACATGAAAATTAATTGAAAATGTGGAAATTTACTTATTAAATTATTTGTTTTAAACACCATGCTTCAAATTGCACAAAACTTGGCCACTCTGCACTTCATTTCTAAAGTGTTTAAATATCAGCATTGTTATGGATGTGAGAAGGCCTGAAATTTAACTTCCAAAGATGCAGTGCGTGTCTTTTACAATGCATTGTTCTATGAAATCTCATTCATTCCTTTATAGCCACTTTTAGAAAGAAAGAAAGAAAGAAAGAAAACTTAAACAAAAATGAACTCATCACACAAATTTCAGTTTGATTTTAATTATATTACTGCCAAGAAATTAGAAGTTAAATCTGCAATTTCATCCTTATTATTTGTTTTTGGGCGGATTGTTGTGCATAAATTATAAGCTCTTTAGGGACTGTCATTTTTGTTCTCTGTTTGTACAGCACCTAGCACAATGGGATCCTGGTCCATAACTGGGTCTCTTAGGGTTACCCGAATGCTAATAAATAATAATAATAATGAACTAATATATAAAATGATGCAGCATGGACTGCATTACCTAGGACTACAGGGTGGATTTTCAAATCTCTGTAATGTTATGCTGAATACATTTTTTGAGTTTTAATAAGTTTGAGTCAAGCTATTGGGCTTTTCTTATTACAGTTTACTCTTTTGTAAACCAGTTTGTACCACCATTCTTACAGTTCCTTAAGAGTATTACTAATTGTTTCCTTCACAGCAATTCATCCCTTGTATTTCAGTTCCTTTTGCATTCATGTTTTGGCTTGTAAGGCTTGGAAATTTTTGTGGAGTAGAGCTTTGTCAAGGCTAAAACATGCCTTTTACGTATTACATTCTTTTATAGCTTCAGAAAGCTTTATTGATAGGTAAGTTGTTCTCAGGTTCTTGTAAGAAGTACTTTAATTGGTTAGTTTTCTGAAGAACAGTTTTATTGTTTATCCACTTTAAGGAGTGAAGTGCTAACAGAAGCTGAAATAACAATGCATGTTCTGATGCCACTTAAAACATTAAGAGTATTCTATGCTATTTTTTTTAAAAGAGAGTGTTTACTGTACACATTGGTATATGATTTACTCAGGCTGCTTATACATAGTCTTCCAGAGATGTGTTGTCTTTATTTTTTTTTATTTTAAAACAAGTACAAGAAAGATGACTGATGTTTTTAAAGCAAAGATATTGTGAGACAGGCTTTGAGGTAAGATTCAAAATTTGTGTTTGTTTTGCTAGGCGAAGATGATATGATACTCAGGAATGTGAAACTTTTAAGGACTTTCAGTGACAGACTGGATATAAAAATACATTGTGTGCTGAACTGTTTGGTTAATAAGGTTAGCTGACATTTATTTACAGTAAGTTCAAAAGTGTTCTCCTTGCCTTGTTCTCAAATTACAGGTGAGTGTCCTCACGGATCAGGTGGAGGCCCAAGGAGAGAAAATCCGGGACCTAGAAGTCTGTCTTGAGGGGCATCAGCTGAAACTTAATGCTACTGAAGAAATGCTTCAACAGGTAAAGTCTAGTGTGCGAGGATTCTTATGCAATCTCTTTCAAGATGAAGGAACATGTATGCATGCTTCTGAATCTGTTATGCCCTGAGTAAATGGACATAGAACAGTTTTGTCTCCTTTTATTGTGTCTGTTGCCTTGAACGATATTTTCATAATACATGTTTGTTTTCTTTCCTGGTGTACATGGATTTTACCGGTCTGTTGTATAACACTGTAAGCAGTAGGCATGTAAAATGAAGCCATTGTATAGTATTCAGAATACTCAAATTAAGCTGGAGGAGTGCTGCAGAGATGGTTGAATAACTTGTTAGACAAGTTAAATATAATAACAAAATACCAGTTTCTGTAGGGGTTAATTCTATAATGTGTACTGCTTTAAACTGTGTCCTGCATTCATGTGGTTGGGTTTGAAGTTGAATTTTAAACTTATTTGAGGTTGAAATGAATTAGGCTAAAATTTTCTTTATTCATTTTTATGAGCTTTCTTTTTCTCTTCTCAAAGAGAGCTACTATATAAAGCTGTTTTTTCCTTACTTCTAGCCATGTGCTTACAAAACCACAGTTCACTTTGAGTTTGCTGTTCAACTTAACCCATCCATGCCATTTCACAGCAGGGGATGAGGGAGTAGAATGCACCATAAAGTAAATACAGTTAAGCATTTCAGACAGCAGTGACAGTTTTGGAGTGACAAAGATTATGAAGAAGTTGCTCTCTGCAATTTTCCATGCCTACTGAAAATGCTGAGTATCTACAGGTAATTTAGATTATAGATGTTTAGGAAAAGAGTATCAGAGGGGTAGCCATGTTAGTCTGAATCTGTAAAAACCAACAGAGGGTCCTGTGGCACCTTCAAGACTAACAGAAGTATTGCAGCATAAGCTTTCGTGGGTGAATGCCCACTTCATCAGACGCAAGAAAGCTTATGCTGCAATATTTCTGTTAGTCTTAAAGGTGCCACAGGACCCTCTGTTGCTTTTTAGGAAAAGAGTAGAGAATTTAAATAGATCTTAAAATCAAGGCTGTAGATTTCTAGGGCAAAATTAATTATTGGTGGGCTTATTTGTTTTGATCTTATCCAAGTGTTATATACATTTAGTTTTAGATAATACAAAATATGTATGACTTTAAATTATTACTGCATTGTCTTCATTTATATAGACATTCTCCATGTTTATGGTGATAGTGTTTCTGGTACACAAATATTAGGTAAACAGTGGCAGTCTACATATAGTAAAGTTGGATCATATCTCTCTCTAAAAGCACAATTTTCATATGCACATCTTAGCCAACATGATTTCTTCGTAATATTCATAGTCCCAAACTTTTTAAGCTGCGGGAAGTTGGATTCACCCATATAAACTATGCTAGATTTTGAAAAATGCCAATTTTAACACCTATGATTTTCTATTCAGAAGGTGAATCTCTGGAAAAGAATGGCAGCTATTTAGAATGTGAAACATCAGAAATAGAATACAAGCATTCCTAGTCAGATCTGAGAGGATTTTTTTTCTAGATCAGTGGAGGTGGAGTCCAGGTGCTGGGGGAGTGGGGCTTGGTGGGACCGGTGGTCTGAATGCAGCTGGTTGGGGCTCAGTGTGGTGGGGGTCCAGGTGTGGGGGGCTTGGCGGGGTGGCACAGGAGGGGTGGGGCTCAGTGGGGTGGAGGTTCAAGTGCAGGGTGCTCAGGAGTGGGGGTCTGGAAGTTGGGCAGGTGTGGGCAGCTCCCCATACAGTGATCCCTCCACCCATGGCTGGGGAGCAATGGGGGCAGCCAGGGAAGATTCCTGTGGGTGGCTCTCACCCAGTCCCTGCCCCAGGAGTGGCCTGTGCAGGGGAAGAGGAAGTCTCTCTGCAGCTGGTGCCTGGAGCACAGCAGGCTCCACCAGCCGGGGTATTCCCAGTCCTGATCATCCCTGGCTCCAGGATCACTTCAACAGTGAGTGAGAGAGACAGAATCTTGCACGCACGCCTAGTCGCACCCCCGGAGGTGGTAATTTATGACTGGGTGTTGGAACAGGGGTGCTGAGAACCATTGAACCAAACTGTAAACCCTGTATATGATGGAAATCACTTCAAACCAAGGGGTGCGGTAGCTTCTTGGCTGCTCCTGATTCCCAAACTAGGCACGCCTGCTCAGGACCATTGCCCGGGAGGGGCACGTGATTCAGTTATTCCACAGGGAAAGAGTAAAATCTGCCGGGGACATTAATTCTGCCCTTGCACAGTGGTGCAGAATTCCCCCAAGAGTAAACATTATAGCCATTTAACTCTTGCATAAACTGAAGCACAGAGACTTTTAGACCCTGATTCTGCAATGAGTTACATATCAGTGGGCCCTAACATCTTCACCGAGCTCACTGCATGATCAGGCCCCAAGGGGTTTAGCCAGGATCATACCACAAAGCAGTGAGAGAGGCAGGAACAGATTGCAGGAGACCTGACTCCAAGTCTATTATTAAACTATTGCATGCAGTATTTGCTTTGTTTAAATTAAACCTACACATTCTATACGTGGTCTGCGTTTTTGTTACCACTTCCATTGTTTCTGGGTGGGAGCGTACAGTAAGGATAGGCATAAACTTGTGATTTATTTATTATTTTTTCAAACAGCATGTAGGACAGGAGTCTCTTTATGAATTAAACATTACAAAATTTTATCTTCAGTTTAATTTTCCAGACACTGACTTGTTAATTTAGGTCCCAACTGTGCAAAGATTTATATATGTGCTAAATTTTTACTATGCAAGTTTTAGATTTTCAAAAGTAACTAAGGGAGGTACAACTCCCCTTGCCATTCAGCGATACTTGTGCTGTTATTTCCCTTAGGTGTATTTGAAAATACCAGACTTAATTTATAGTTGGATTGCTCAGCTACTGTATGTTGAACTGCATTGACTCTGTCTTAGTGAATGTCAGTTCACTTTCTCTGTCTTTCTTGTGTTAAATAGTAAATGAAAAGGAAAAGATTATTCCCCATGCTTGGAAAAACTTAACGTGTATTAATAGAACCAATCTAAGCCAAAATGCAATGTGGATCAGCATGTTCACTGTTCTGAAAATAACAATAATGTATGTTGTTCCAGAATGTGCTCTGGCTTTTTAATTTTATTTTCTAACAGATAATACAATTTGAGTTTCTCCCAATGTTACTTGTGCTCCAAAAGTGCTACACTTAGATGTTGCCTATTTTTTTTTATTGAGCTTGCTTAAGTCTGGTTTAATGAAGTTCCTTTAGTAAGGGATCTGATTATATCACTGTAGCATCAGTATGTAATGCTACCCTAAAAATACATACCAGCTGAACCCAGACTAGCAGAGACTCGCCCACGATGTAAGGGTGGGGCCATTGGCTAGAATCCTTTTGGCTTATGATTTACGGGTGGTTATTTTGAACTCTGCTTTATAGCTATAATGCAAACACTTTACAAACAGTGGTTTAAAAATAAGCTACTCTTCGTGTATTAGTATTATGCAAAATTTCCTTCCGTTTCTTGTAGAGGATGACAAAGCAGAGTGTAGTGGATCAGCTCAAGTGCTGGAGAGTAGACTGACATGCGACTGTGTCAAGATCAACTTCTCATGTTTTCTTGAAGAAACTTGTAATGATGGTTCTGCTTTTACTAGGGCTTGATTCATAGCCTAAGAGCTGTACCAGGGATCTGTTTCAAAGTCCATTGAAGACAATAGGAGTCTTTGAATTGATTTCAGTTGGTTTTGGATCAAGCCTTAAATTTAGAAAACATGTATTCTGTCTTGTGAGGAATGAAGAAGAGGATCATGGGTGTGATTGGGGTATTTTTTCTTTTTTTTCTTCTTCTTCTTCTTTTTAAACCACTTAACATATAGGACTTTTCAAAAATCCATTGAAATCAGTGGAATAACTTCTCTTGAGTTTAGCACTTTGGATAGGCCCTAAATATATGTCCCATTCTGACTCAGAGGAAATTCATCCTGAAGTGCTGAGAGTTGCTTAAAGTTTGTTTTGAAGTGTGAGTTCAATACTAGAGATTCCTGAGTCTATCCTCTTTGTCAAAAATAAATAAATAGAAGAGAAGAGAGTTTTGGCAGTTCCAGTGCAGGTCTTTGTTTTAGACAAGCTTTAGTTCATAGATACATAGATAAACATTTGGTAGTTATATTGTCTATCTGTAGGTAAATTATAAAGGGTGAGGCAAGGTGCAGAGTCTCTGCTCTGACTCACTATTGAAGATTGTCTATTGTCTAATTAGCCTTGGAAGCCTATCCAAGATTCACCAAGTAAATGAGTACAAACAAGGCTGTGGTAAACTTAATCTTCTAAGAGCAAGAAGGACTTGATTCCTCAGGGCTAGTCTTGGTTTTCAGCATGTTGTGCTCCTCCCTCATATCAGTCCCAACGCCTAGCCATGCTTTGACCATTTGATTCCATCTGTCATCCATAGCAATCCTGCATTTGGCATATGATCAGCAATAGTCAATTCAGAGGACTCCGTGTAGTTTGTTCAGATAGTCCTCATAACATTATGACAAGAGGTGTTTCCCACGAGGTCTATTGCCAGAGAGTCTTGGATCAGTCAGACTGTCTTCAGGACACTGTCGCTTAAGAATATAACTAGAAAATAAAGATCTGAACACAAATGGGTCTGAATTTATGTTCTTTCTCCTCTTGGGGTGAGATTCTGGCCAAACCATTTCATAGGTTTAAGAAGCAGGGAGAGGGTGTATGAAACTCTGTCCTCGCTTGTGTTTTTGAAAGGGCTGGCCAGGATACAATTGGAGAGCATGGTTCCCCCCACAAGCACTAGGGGGCTTAAAAAATGCAGGGAGAAATGGTGCAAGGGCAGCAACTTTTGTGTGTGATCCACTGTAGCCTGTAATTAATTCATTCTCGCTATCATCTTTCCTGTATACAAGTGGGCCAGATTCCTATCTCAGTTACAGTGGTGTAAATCTGAAATAACTATTCACCTCATGGGGGTTTTGCTGCCCAGAAAGGGTCATACTGTCAACTTTCAGTTAGCC